GAGTAGATCCACACATTTCCTGAAAGACAGAGCACAAATAAAATGTTTAATGTAGAAGTGAAGAGTTTCATGAGCAGTGTGCATTCATCCGATTCGTACTGAACCCACTTTTTTACTCAAGTATAAGTAAAAAAGTCCAGGCTCTGAAAGTAGGAAAGTAAGTAGTAGCTCTTTGAAGGACAATTCTACTAATCATTTATATGCACAGGTAACCTGTTATATTAATATATTAATAGAATAATATTAGTAGATGAGAGTATAGTTGTTATTCAAATCTAAACTGTAAGCAGTAAAAGAGGGGTGGAGGAGCACTAAGATCTGTTGTCGTGGCTCAAGGTGACGCAAATATTCACAACTGACAATAATTTCTGATCAGCTTCAGTAGATTTTCTTAGCGTGCAGCCTGTGATCAGCTGACCTGCTGCTGTTTGTAGATTTACACAACTGAATTTAACAAGATGTCAGCAGACGTTTTGTATTATTGTATCTATATAAATCAATAAAGTTAAAGTGAAGATGCTTCACCCTACTGTATGTTGTCTTTATACTAGACAACATAAGGTAGGTAAAAAGGTTGATTTCAACCAATAAATCTAAGTGTCGTCATCTTAAATGTAAATTAATCTCTGCTACACTTAATGTAACCTAACACAGCCACTGTGCACTGGTCCAACACAGTGATCTACTGTGAATGAACCACATTAACGGAAGCTAACCTGTTTATCCTGCACAAAACTGCTCAGTATCTTCATGCAACCTTTGAGTAACACAGAGCTAGTATAGCTTAGTTTACACTGCAGGACGTTTCACAATATAAAAATACGTCATTTATCAAAACACATTATAATAAAAGTAAAAGGTTGTCAGAAAAATAAATACTCAAGTAAAGTATTAGTTCCCACCTCTGGAAATTATGTCCCAATAAAATTATGGTACACCTAATATATTTGTCTTTTTCAAAAGTGATAGAAGATGTTTTCTGCAGTTGCTTTATTTGAATAGTTACATATGTAGAAAATTAGGTCAGTGAGATGTCCTAGAGTGAAACCAAACTTTAAAGTTACAGGTTATAACCAAAAACAAACAGGAGAACTGAAACATGGGTCGCTGTGAGTTCATCACCGATATCAGGAACTTTGATACATGAAAACAATGTTTTTTATATGTTTTTGAACAATCGCACGTTTTTTTATTTGCCTCTGTTCACCAGCAGAGTGAATTTAAAAGGAAACTATCAAGATGTGACTGAAGTGCAGACTTTCAGTCTCAGACAACAAGCTCTTACTTCCTAATTAATCAAAATCCAATGTCAGTTTACTGTAACAACACACATACATAGTGTGGTCTGATGGAGATAACTAAGGAAACCAATAGAAGTAACATATGAGTAACAATAGCAGGAAGTAACTGTGTGAACACGTCTGAAGGTTTTACCTACGTGCTGACTCTGACATTTGCTTTCTGGAAAGCAAAAAAAGAAAAGCTGCTTTCTGCTCGTAGAAATTGGGTTTGCTTAGTTTGCCCACAGATTAGTCAGCCATCTGAATCTTTCAGCTTACCAGCAATGAACCAGCAGAAGAAGAAGAGTGAGACGAGGCAGGTCCAGGCGCTGCTGTGGCTGCCGAAGCCTGCGCAACACGGAAGGATGGAGAGCAGACCCAGCAGCATGGAGACCACTCCCATCACCAGCAGGTAGATGGGAATGTAGCGCTGCCTGGGGCAGTCAAACTGGTACAACGCTCCTTTATGACACATGAAACATTACTGAACTCCGCACTTCAGAAAATCATACAAATGTGTACATCTTGGTAACAGTGAGTGCACCTGTGCTTACCAATGATGAACTGAGCAATGGGCATGACGCACAAAATCACCTGGAAACATCCTGAAGCAAAAACAGAAAACATGTTAAAGTCACCAGGAGCGTCTGCTCATGTGAGGTCAGTGTGGCACCAGTTCTTACCTACTACCACACATGGAGGTTTAGGTCTGCGGATGTGCCGAATCGTGTCA